ATAATTTTAGCCTATTAATTTAGCCTGAAGTAATACTAGCTCATATATTTAGCTTAACAAATTTAGCCACTGAAAATATTAACCTAATTACTTAGCATAGGGACGTAGCTTAAGCTAACAGTCAAATATTTTAGGAGCAGGTCACATTAGCAAGGCATTCTTTAGCTTTTGGTTCGTAATGTGGCAACGTGTTTGCCTTAAGGAGTTAGCTTAAGCTAACATAAGTTCAAACATTCAGTCTAATAATTTAGCTTCTGGTAACATTAGCGTGACACATTACTTGTTGCCACAACAAAGAATTGTTGTGCCAATGCCAATTACTTGTTAGCTACAAGTAATTATAGCACAAATACTTGTGCTAAATGAATCTATTAATTTAGCACAAGTTAGTACTAGGTAAATATATTGAGATGAATGATTTAGCCTCATAAAATATTAGCCTAATTGCTTAAGACAACATATTAGCTCAATCCTTTTGCAAAAAGATTTAGCTTAAGCTAGCACCATCCTACAGTGTCAACAAGGCCACTATGCTAGGTGTGACCTGTAGCTTTATGACTCATGGATGAACCTGATTGTGACCTGCTGCTGCCTAAAGGAACCAACAGACCATCAGGTCTCTGCGTTAGCTGCGTTACCTCTGGGCGGTCTGGGCAGCCTGCTCTGGGTGTCACACACACTGGCTGGGGTCACAATGGGGTGAGACGAGGGCTGGAGGAAGGCCACAGTGGGGAAAGGCACCGACGGGATCATGGAGGAGTCGGACAGGGAGGCGGGGAGGCCTGAGCGGCCGCCGTCCCTGCCGCTGGACGGGACTCTCCACCGGGGCAACGGGGACGGGGATACGTCTTCACTGGAGGAACCGGGAACACTGGGAGGGCTGAGGGACTGCTCGGGGGTCGACGAGGATTTGGGAAGGAAGCTGAGGATGGAGGAGAAGAAGGAGCAGGATTCTGGGAGGGGAATGGTCCCGATTCCGCTGTCCAGCGTCCGCATGGCGCAGCGCGATCCTGCGGCACAAGGAGGACAGCTGCAGTGGCTCACAGGGAGTTAGCCGCTAGCAGCTAGGTAGCTAGCAGCTAGCCTCTATGCAGCTACCAGCTATTAGCTAGCCGCTAACAGTTGGCATGATGAAAGAGCAGGAAGCATGGCTGAAGTGGAGCTGTGAAGCTTTGAAACGTGTTTATGGACGAGGTAATTAGCCACTCAATTAGGAGACGTTTTAATCTGAGAGGAAAATCAATACGATCACTTTACAAATTAAATCTGATTGATTTCAGGGTAGAAATGGAGAATGAGGCAGATTGACTAGAACAACTCTTTGTATTCTTTATGATGAATAAAAAAACATTTTCTGTTGGTCAGATACTTTTCTCTCTGCCTCCTGGTTTTCCTCAGTTTGCTGGAAGTTTGAGTTAATGTCCAAAACATTTAATGCTTCATCACAAAATGAGAATAAGATCCAGATATGAGCCCACTTTAACCACCGCTCTGTCAGAACGACGCTAGATGAGTCATGCTCTGACTGCAAACATGAAATGCACATAATGGTTCAGCATGGTGTGAACGAAATGCTTCATTTTTAACTCAACAGACTATTGATCGTTTTACAGGTTAAAGCCATTCAGAGACCGACTTCACTCCAACATCACGAATAAACACAGGGCAGGAATCCAGAGAAACAAGCTAGCATCCATCTAGCATCTAGCTAGCATCCAGCTAGCATCTAGCTAGCATCCATCTAGCATCCATCTAGCATCTAGCTAGCATCTAGCTAGCATCC